TGAATCTGGACAGAGATTGTAGACAAGGCCCGTTGCTGGTTGAGGCAGTGGTTCAAATTTTAATTCTGAGCGATTTAACGAAGATGGGATCCGAGCGCTCATGGACTTGCCCGATGTCCAGTGAGGAAAATCTATTGATCAACTAACAACCATTAATGTGTCGTGCAAGCGATAAGGCTTATAATGACACATCCACAATTGCTAAATTCTTCTTCTTTGTGTTCACCAGCTGTAAACTGGTGGAAAGTTCTGGTTGTTCGTCCACTTCTGGACTGCAGACCGGTTCCAGAACCTAAGTGTTGTATGTGAGTCCTTTTGACAGATCTGTCACATTTGTGTGCAGACTGTTGGTTCCTTGACTCTCAGGCTGACGCAGTCCGACTTCGAAGTAAGCTCCCAATTAGTCTACTCTCACAACATGCTTTTGGGCAGGCAGTGGGTCTATTCTTGTTTTGCCTATAATAGGGCCCCGGAACCCACACGGGGGGGGGGGGGGGGGGACTACTAAAGCAGAAGATAGGGGACAGCAAGATCATTATTTTTGTCTCAGAGAATAGAACCACTGCCTCCCCAAACAAGCATGTCGTAGGAGTCGACTAACTGGGGACTTCCTTTGAAGTCGGAGTGCATCTTCCTGATCGGCAAGGAAAAACCAACTGCACAGAAATAAAAACAGAAATAAAAGCCAAAGTCCAAATGAAAGAACAACCAGGACTTTCCGCCAGAGCTTAAAGCCGATGAACAAAGAAGAGGAAGATTTAGCTAAGAAAATATTAATCTAGTCAACCAAACTGGTCAAAAATAACAATAAGAAAGTTCTTAACAACATCAACTACACAGATGGGCTGGAGACTTTAAAAAACCTCAGAATACACCTGTCCCAAAAGTTATGTCAGATATCCACCAGTCTTCAGGAGCGGAACTGGTATTAGAACCATACACAGAAAAGGGGAGCCGCCGTGGTCTAGTGGCTAGACTAGCGGATCGTATGGTCGTGGGTTCGGGTCCTGGCAGGGGTTGGCCTTTTTTTTTAATGACCTTGGCTCCCAGGTCGACCCAGCCTTGAGTGGGTACCAAGTACAGACTTGGGAATAGAGGCGACAGGCGTTACGCTGACCACATCACTCACCAAGTGCCGATTGTTCTGTAAATTATACGTTCCAGCATCACTGCTATACTTTTATCCTGTGGTCATCACATCCAATTTCTTCAGGCACTTTTCGCACTTTTTTTTTTTAAATGACCCTGGCTTCCAGGTTGACCCAGCCTTGAGTGGGAAAGTTGTGGTTGTTCATCCACTTCTGGACTTCGTTCTAGAACCTGGATGTTGCGTGCACATCTATTTCACAGGTCTGACTCATTTCTATGAAGACTGTTACTGCCATGCATCTCAAGACCATTTTCTACGCCTTCAAGCGTATTGGGTATAAAGGGCTAGGCCTAAATTTCATAGACCGAACGGCGCTTGATAGGTGATGTGGTCAGCATCATGCCGGCCGCCTTTACTTCCCATGACTGTACGTGGTTTCCCCTCAAGGCTGAGTCGACCAACTTTGAAAGAATCTCCCAGTTAGTCGACAAGTACGACATGCTTTTGGGTAGTCAGTGGGTCTATTCTTGTTTTTCCCCCACAATGGGGCACCAGAATCCACACAGGGAAGTTATTAACTGACGTCAAAACACACGGGGTATTCCCGTAACTCTCCGTCAGCATCTTCAGCAGCAAGCAGAGATTCAAGTTCATACACTACCAGTAACAGTCTGAGAAATGTCTGTCTTGCCTTTTCTATCATTGTTGAGTGTCGACCAGATACCCTGGTCACAGCCCCCTGCACTATTCTCTTCGGACCGTGGCGCTCTGTTTGTGCCTCAACACTGTTCGCTCGCCCCAAAGGGTTTTGATAACATCTAGCTTGTCATACATCAAGTTACAAAAAGGGGTGCAGAACAACCAGTCTGTCTGTCTGTTAGTTTCCTAACACTCCTGCAATCCCTTTAGAAAATATCCAAGCGATGCTTGGCACTCTACACACAGCATACCTGTTGTCACCTATCTTATGCTTTGTGAGTCTGTTACAATCACGACATGCGTGTGCAGTTGATTCCAAACAATTTCTAGACTGAATGTACTTGTAATAATCCGGATTTTCAGATTTAACAGTCATGAAAACAAGACAGCCCTGCCAGCTTGATGTGGTGAGTGATCTCTGTTGTGCTCTGGTCCAACATCAAACCAACAAATATAGCAGATATCATTGAGACAAAACAGTGTCAACCTACACATTGGTGTTTGGACACTTAATTACCAATTGTTGGTAATTGCTTCATTTGTTATTTGACACTTAGATTACTGTAAATGTTTTTTCCTCCAAGTTCAGTGCTTCGGATTTGTGTTTGTGTTTTCCTCTTTGTAATCACATTTTGCTATGTTGTTGGGCGGGGGGGGGGGGGGGGGGGGTGCGGCGCAGAGAGCCTAGCTAAATACTCAAGAGGAACGCCACATAAAAAGGGTTGGAGACCACCATTGGTTTAAACACTTTCGAATGTTCGTTTCGGCTTTCCGAAGAATTTCCACAAACAGAACAACTCTAAGACCCGACAGAAAGAAAATAAAGTGGGACGGGATGTTTATTGTTGCTGTTCTTCTGCGTTCGTCCTAAAAAGCGCGGTTGGCATGTTGTATTGTGATTTGAAGCAAATTCATGTTTAGTCGCCTTTTGCGAAAGGCATTTTAGGGGGAACAGGGGGTCTGTTCCCCCCACTCCAAACAGGACCATGGAACGCACACAGCGTTATTAATTGTTTAAGATCCACGGCCTTATGTTTAAAATCCCATTAATACAATCAGCCCACCCGCCCGCCCCCCCCCCCCCCCCTTCCCCTTTCCCGCCCCACACTTAAAAAAATGCTGGTACTTGCCACATAGTGTCTAATACAGCAAGAAAAAAAATTATGCCTGAAAAATGAGCTGAAACTACGTACCGTCCAAAAAATATTTTTTTGAAATCTGCATTTCGTAACATACCAACGACGCGATCTCTCACTATAGACCAACTTATGAGCCAGCTGTAGTTTTATTTCGTTTCCAGGAAACACATTTTGTAATAGTCAGCAGAAGACGAAGAACTTGGCCCCAGATTTGTCCTGTGGTCGTCAACTGTGATGGTGAGAGCTGGCTGTTTACCCATCTTCAGTTGTGTTGACAGGTGGGGTAGACGATCTGTTACGCACTCAAACAAGGTAATGCACGCGTTTTAGAAATAAAAGGCGATTATGTCATCCGGAATTATTGGCTTATTCAAATGCAATGTGTATTATTTTTTACTAAGAAGTCAGATCTGAAATTGAAATTCTTCTGAACGCGTAGGTAGGGGGACTTTAGTGAATTTTCAAAATCATTTTATGCTAATAAAATCAGCACAGCTGGAAACATATTACAAATATCTCTTTAACAGTACCTCATTTATGTCTGTATGTCAGTTCTAAGCCGAAATATCAATGTGTTGTACAAATAAGGTATACAGAAGAAAAAATAAACAGCAGAACGAGAAACAAGGTTTTTGAGAAGTGTTTAAAAATATGGTGGTATATTAAATAGAGAACAGAACACCTAGAGATTTTGTATTTTTGTTCTGTGATATATGGCAAACTTTATTCCAAAAACCTTCAACAGATACTCCTACTGCGTGGCTGCAAAGGTTCACATACGCCATACAAATGACGGCTATCCTTCGAATAACGGGCACAAAAGATGGCGGTCAATGGCAGCCAAAAACAGGGTCTCAGTCACATGTCAGTTGCGCACTTCCGGCGACCTAATTTGCGACTACCGCCACCGCCGAGAGTATCCCCCACGCCGCGTGGATTAGGGCTAAACTAGATGGCTAGGGCTCACGAGCAAAGCTGCAGGAGATGCGGAAGCTGCTGCCCGTAAGTCAGAAGATGAGGAAGCCACCGTACGTTTGAGTATGGACAGCACCTGTGGATCAGGGGATGAGGAAGCCACCATATTTGTGTGTACAGATGATCCACGAAACTAACTGGGCAGGCTAACCCAGATAACAAATGCCTGAAGAGTTTGGATGTGTTGACCAAAAGATAAAAGTATAGCAGTGATGATGTAAGCAGACACAATGCATTTACGTCACTCTGACAAACACTGCAGAAGAAGAAGAGGAAGATATTGAAGGTACCTTTGGCACGTCATCATGTGTGGCAGAGAAATTGATGCATGACAAGATAGATATGGTCACGGCCTTTTGGGAGCAAGGGATCATTATGGTGTGGAGAGAATGGAGGGGTTGGAAATGACCCAGAGATCTGGCTGACACTCCAAACTCAGATGAAAGGTTGGACAGACACATAATCAGAATGTTACTGATACCGTCGGAATATTGCAGCTCTTTGCTGGCTGCTGAAGGTAAGGGTGTAGTACATATGGGAAAGTCTCGAGTGCTATAATGTTAGCTTTTTGCTCCACTCATCCCCATGTGGGATCCTGGGTCCGTAACAAGTATGTTATAAGAGTTGACTAGTTAGGGGTTTCCTTCAAAATCAGAGTTCATCTGCCTGAGAGGCAAGGAACCAATAGTCTGCATATAAATATACCAGATCTGTAAAATGGATATCTATTGAGGACTTAATGTGTGTTGTGGCTGTTGCTGTCATCAGATAGGATATAGGAGATCTCAGTAAGTTTGTAATGCAGCCATCTCAACCTAGGGAAGCTCTTTACACCAGCTTTAACTCTTTGAGTCCCGGGGGTTTAGCATCAGAGGCCCAAGGGGTTGTAATGCAATTTTTTTATTTTCACAAGTGTAACACATTAAAACAGACCATACTAATTCAATTGCCATGCAGAATACACATATTATACATCAAAGTGACCAGGGATTGTTGAGGAATAATTTTAGAATACAGCTACAACAAATAATTGTGTAAGTTATTAAATGTTAGTAAATAAACAAACGGTTTGTTTTTAGCACAAAGAGGTACCAGTAATGGCGGTTCCGCCACCAGACCAAGTGTGTATCATGGACCAAGGCCAAGGAGAAGAGACTCCTTCTCCACGCTGTCTGCAGCATTGTCTCTCCCCTACTACTCTTGCGGTACGTTTGGAAAGCGATGATGGTATGTTATTTTTTTGTTCTGGAATCTTTATTCTTCTTGTTTTTCTTTAAGTCCAATCTGTGTGGCGTTGTTGGTCATTTGTATTCATAACCTTCTGTCTTGTGTACTGACAATCAGCTCTGACACAGACATCTTCAATGCCATGATGTCGAACTGTCCGGCATCTTTGGTCTCGGTCTCCCTCTGCTTCTCTTTCCCTACAGCTTTCCTACTGTCACGATGTACTCCAGTTTTCTCTCTCTCTCATGACATGACCAAAGAATAAAGATTGTCTCTTTCTCTTGTGGACTTTCAGCGCTCTTTGTAAGTCAGTTTCTTTCAAGACATCTTCATTACTCTTTTTTTATATGTCCACGGTATTCTCATCATTCATCTATAAAACCACATCTTCGCAGCTTCTAAATATGTTTTCACTAGTCTTCTTTTATTGTTCTACCCCAGAAGTAATTAATCCACTGAACTGTGAATAATCAGTAAATCAGTAAGAAACTTAGGGCAAGGGGGAGGGAAGAGCATTTCTCGACACTTCTTTTTTCTTCTTCGCATTCACCAGCTGTAAACTCCAGAGGACAGTTCTGGTTGTTCATCTACTTCTGGACTGTAGTCCTGTTGTGTAATCTGAGTGCTGCATGCATATCCACTTTACAAATCTGACTCATTTGTATGTAGACTTTGTTCCTTGCCTCACAGATGCTATCCGACTTGAAAAAAGCTCCCAATTAGTAGATTCTTACAACAAGCTTTCAGGTAGGGAGTGGGTCCATTCTTGTTTTCCCTGCAATAGGGCCTGGAACCCACACAGGGATCTCTCAGCACAAAGCATAACAGCAGCAGCAAAGTGTGTATTTTGTTTCCCTTTCCTCAACCCCCTGGTTTAGCTTCTTAGTCATTGTTCGGTGGATTAATTTCTTGATATTAGCTTGGCCACAGTTTTTACCTCAGAGTTCTTTTAATAAAGGAAGACCCCAAAAAACACACAGAGAAGGGAGCTAGATAGTGAAGTAGAAAAGATGGGGAGGACATAGGTGAGCTACACACAATAGCAAAGGATAGAACAACTTGGTATGAGTTGGTTTAGGGCCCATGCTTCATTGCCGGAAAGAAAAGCAGAAGAAGAAGAAGAATAGTTCTTTTGAATAATTGCAACGTTACTGCTTTTTTTGGTTGGTTGGCGCCTTACTGTCCTGCCAGAAGATAGTGTTACTGTGAAATTAGGGAATCTGAGGTGACAGCGAGTGTGACTAGCAAGACCAGATCATTTTGAGAAGTTCCACAAAAATGCATGAGATTCCATAACCATTATTGCATTCACATGTATTTGACATGTTTCATCCCTGATGCTCAGCTCTTAGCCTGTCTGCAATTCTTGTATCCTTTGTATCCAGGAAAGGTATAAAACCGAATGAAAAGTAGATCAGCGAGCTTCACAATATAACAAACACAAACTAAACATGAACTTTGCGGCTATAGAGCCTTTATCAGCCCAAACATAAACAAAACAAAACCACATGACTATACAAAATCACTTAACTGACATATCCCAAAGCAGCCACGTTGATGTCTTTCCAGTGTAATGAAGAGCCACATGTAACACCCAGAATAAACAGCCAGGGAATGTCAAGGGCCGTAACTCAAGAATTTTAGATAAATTTATATTGACAGTTCATTCCTCTAGGTGTTTGGGTTCCCAAGATGAAAAATAAACAGATTCTCAAGTAACTAAATGGCCATCACCTTCATGTTGTTGACACCTTGGTGTTCCTGAGAATTGAAGTGCAATGATATTGGTCTCAGGACACCATTCTGTACATCCAGTAGATGTTGTCTGAACGTGTCAACCAGTCATAAACCTATTTCACTAATGTATTTCATGCCACATCTCTTGCAGTTGATGACATAAATGTTATTGAAGCTCTTCTAGTAGAATGCCTCATGTGTGTGGAAGGTGGCATTCAGGAATTCCAGACTTTTACCCTGAACCACATATGGACAAGTCTTGCATTCAGGTCTATGGTTGGAGACCGTGCCGAAGTGGGACTCAGATGCAGGACATAACTGACTCTTGACTATAATGTCTCTCAGGCTAAGGCCATGTCTGTTGGCCACTTTGTCTGTAGGTCCTTTGTAGCCAGTCTCTTCCTAATGTTCCCCCTCCTTGCAATGCAGTCTATGGTTTCTGTTCCCATAAATCAACCTCTCTACCTATATCATTGATGTCATGCTTGCTCACATCTTTAAATCCTAGTAGAGGCTGACCATGGCTGCATTTTATACAAATAAACTTCTTCTTGTTGTTGTTCTTCTTCTGCGCTCATCTGAAGATGTATTTGCCCCTTTACAGCATGGCTGCGATTTTTCGGCTAACACCTCCGACTTCTGTGGGTTTTATTTGACAGTGTTAACCTTCCCGGTACACAAATAAACAATTTACATGAACTTTTTATAGGTATCTTGTATGCGGACGAGAGGGAATTATTAGAGGCATAAAAAAACCACACTCAGATGGATAGTCTTGGCAGTTATTACTATCCGTGACACAGAATTCTTCTTCTTCTTCGTAGGATTAACCGCCTGTAAACTCTGGTGGAAAGTTCTGGTTGTTCGTCCACTTTTGGACTTTGGTCTTTCTCCAGAACTTGAGTTTTGCATACACATCCATATTACAGATCTGTCTTACTTGTACGCAGTAATCCAGTCTGGAAGAAGAAATTCATAAGTTGAAAGGATTTGCAGTAAGTCTATTTTAGTGTCCTTGTAAGTAAGTCAGTTGATTGAGCTAAAACTTGCACTATTGTCTTTGTGAGCATGGTGATTAAGACATACTAGTCAAAGCAATGCCCCCCCCCCCCCCCCCCCACCTTTGTAAATTTGAACAGAGAAGACACAAACAATAGATTGCTCTTTGGTCTTTGCTCAAACTTATACTAGTGCCTTTGTGGGCCACTGATTGACACCAAGATTGTGCTAGTGCCTTTATGAGCCCAATGATTGACACCAAGATTGTACGAGTGCCTTTATGGGTCCAGTGATTGACACCAAGATTGTATGAGTGCCTTTATGGGTCCAGTGATCTACATCACCAAAATTATCCCGGGCCATTGTGGGTCCAGTGATTGACACCAAGATTGCACTAATGAACAAAACTGCTTTATAGCCTTTGTGGGCATGTTTATAATGATCAGGCTTGTCCTGGTGTCTTTGTGTGTCCATTTATTGAGACCTAGCCACTACTAGTATCTTTGTGGGTCCTGTGACTAGTCTTGTACTTACACTTTTGTGGATCAAATGATTTCAATAAGTCTGTAGTTATGTCTTGTAAGTAAAATCATAGAGACCAAGACAATACTTGTTACTTTTTCTTCTTCATCTTCTGCTTTCAACATCAGTCATGCTAAACATTTAGTCCCATCTGGCTCACAAATAGGATTGTGCGTTTAAGAGGAGAAATTAGGCCAGTACTGCAGTATGTACTCAGGGGTCTGTCTTTCTGCTCCACAATCACAGGCAGCAGATTCTTGTATGCCTATCCTGTGCAGGTGTGCTCGAAGATCACAGTATCCTGTCCGAAGCCTAACAATTTATGTTTTTTCTTTCCTGTTAAGTTTATGCTGTCACTCTCTGGTCTGTAATGTCCATTCTGCCTTTCTCCACTCCCGTTTGAAAGACTGCTTCAGCGCTGTTTTGCTTACTGGTTACTTTGTAATCCCATCCCTGCATACTAACACCACTGAAAATAATACTTTGTCAATGGTCTGGCCCTTACAGGCATTGATTGCTATGGGAATGAAAGAGAGGTGCTTACAGAACAAGGCAGGTTCTACAACAACAGACTCTTAAGTGATGTGATTCTTCAAGTAGAGGGGGACAAGTATTTTGCCCATAAACTGGTTCTAGTCAGGGCTTCTCAAGTTTTTGAACGCATGTTCACAAGTAAGCAGTGGGATACTCACAAAGAAAAGGTATTTGAAATCATATTGCTATCTTTTTAATTTTATGTTTAATTTTTTTCTAAAACTTATTTTATACTATAAAGTACAGGCCTGTTCAACTAAGTTTACTCGGAGGCCAAACTTTTGAAAATGGGGATCGTCACGGGCCAGAGGCGTGAGCCCCAGCATCGAAAGACCATTAATACAGTACAACTGGCAATGATCCGCGGAGCGTGATAGGCCTCTGTGGGCTGCCAGTTGAATAACCCTGATATTGTACATCATGGTGGAATAAGGATTGCAGTCAGACACAATTCAGGGAGAAAGAAACTGCCTCACGAAGAAAACTAATTGTCCACATCAGAAATAAACAGTCTGCATTCTTTAGTCATGTGATGAGAAGGAGAAAAATTGGAGTACATAGTGGTAATAGGAAAGTCGGAGGGGAAGAAAGGCAGAGGGAGACTGAGAGAAAAGATGCTGGACAGTTTGACATTATGGCAGGGAGGATCATCTGTGCCAAAGTTGTTTGGAAAAACACGAGATAGAAGGTTGTGGATAGACAGACTACCAACACCATGGCATGGATTTTAAGAAGAAGAAGATGAAGATAAACCCAGACTTCAGCCAAATACCTAATTGTCTTTTTGGCTCAAAACCAGGGGTGGGCCTTTTGAGAGAGGCAAAAATGTGCTGGACTGTATTTCATCTATGATCTTTAAAAAAAATACAGTTAATTGAACCTTGACCCCATCTTCTTCTGCCCTGACCAAAAGAGCCGGGGCCCTCACCCAGCTCCCTGCAAGTCGTCCAGTATCAGAAATACAACTGCTGTGGGAAAGATGACAGTTTGGAAGGGCCAAATGTAAGACAGGCCTGCGTGCCTAATTTGTAACCCTTTGAAAATAAAGTTTGTTCGTTCTATTCTTGGCTGATAGGTGCAGCTCATCCCCCAACTTTTAAACTTCAAGCTCTGGCTTCTTCCTCCGTATTATGTTTAGTCTGCCTTTATTTCTAGATATTACATATCTTTGCCATTTTAACTTAATGTCACTTGTCGCAAAAAGGTGGTCGTAGCAAAGTGGTCAAGCTGTTTGACTCATGCTCTGAAGGTCATGGGTTCGCCTCACGGCCTCAGTTACCAAGTTCCCTGTGTGGGTTCCGGGGCCCTATTGTGGGGGAAAACAAGAATAGACCCACTGCCTACCCAAAAGCATGTCGTAAGAGTCGACTAACTGGTAAGCTTCCTTTGAAGTCGGAGTGCATCTGCCTGAGAGGCAAGGAACCAGCAGACTGCATTTAACTGAATCAGGTCTGTAAAACTGATGCACACGCAACACTCAGGTTCTGGAGCACGACTGCAGCCCAGAAGTGGACGAACAACCAGAATTTTACGCCAGAGTTTACAGCTGGTGAACGTGAAGAAGAAGAAGAAGAAGTTACCAAGTTGTTTTTTACAGAAATCCCAAGGAATTATTGCAGAAGCTACAGAGTTCATGCTTAGGGTGACGCCATTGTCAGTTAGTTAACTGTTCTGCAGAAAGAGAGACCCCTAGCATAGTGCACTGAACTGAGGGATTCTGGGTTTCTCTCTGTTTGGGGTCGTCTGTAGTACATGGGTTTCCTTTACAGTCAGACTGGACCTCTATCAGAAACTACCTTGGCCAGGTCGACCCAGCCTCAAATGGGTACCAGGTAAAGTACTAAAAGTGGCCGGTGGAGTGTTGACCACATCACCCACTGAGTGAAGGGTTTATTTCCAATTCAGAGTGCATTTGCTGGAGAGGCAAGGAACCAACAGTCTGCATACAAATAAGCCAAATCTGTAAAACATATGTGCATGTAACACTCAAGTTTCGGAACAGTCACACTTTCCAGCAGAGTTTACAGCCAGTGAACACAGTGAAAAAGAAATCATTTCACGAATTGTCATTTTGTAATGTTCTGTTTAGCTTTCCAGATATCACTGTTTTCATGATTTGGGATTTATTCCTAGCCATTTCTATTCCAAATTTTGTTTTTGATTTGCAGGAAATCAAACTAGTCGAAGAGAGCATGTGTGTGGCCGTCTTCCCCAGGTTTCTTAACTTTTTGTACAGCTGCCATGTAAAATTGAATATAGAAAACACACTTCCTGTGCTCATTTTAGCCGACAAATACAATGTGACAGACTTACGTACGGTATGTGGATGTCTTTTTCTTCATTTGTCCAGATGATATAATCTACTTTATGCCTGATTACAGCATAGCTTTATATCCGGATAGTTAGCATCCTTTGGGGGTTTTCTCCCGGTCATGCCGGTGGGTTGGGAAATGAGCAGGCAGATAGACTGGCTGGCTGTGCACTACTTGGTGTTGAATTAATGTATGAAAAGTTAGATATTGTAAGGGCCCTTTGGGAGAGAGTGAATAGTGCTGAGGTGCAGATAGATCATTACGGTCTAAGAAGAATGGCGCTGCGAGGAGTTACCAGGGGATCTGGCTGACGCTCAACACTCAGGGGGAAGGATAAGATGGATATACAATCAGACGGTTACTGGTACCATCGGAGTTGGAACTCTTCACTTGCTGCTGAAGATCGGGACTGAGCACTTATGGGAGGGTCCCGAGTTCTGCGATGTCGACTCTTAATTTAACATTCAACATATCTGTGACATTTCCGCCTTTTGGCTGACATATCTGACTTCATCTGGCATTTGTTCACTAGTTTAACCTTAGCGGTTGGTTTCATGGGACATTACATAGCCTTATTTGTGTGGAGTCCTCTTTATCCTTTTACTAGATTTAATTTCTTTGCATTTGCCTAGGATAGTTAATGAAAATGTAATTTTACCCCCTCCTCTGCTTCGTCTTTGTCTCCACCACTGCCTTAGTTTATATATACATTGCCACAAGCCTCCCCCTTTCACCCCTCTCTCCGGGCCCTAAATTTGACAGATTAAGCTACTCTCCACCCCATCCTTGAGCGCCCCAGTGCATGTGTGTTGATGTAACATCCTTGAGCGCCCCAGTGCATGTGTGTTGATGTAACATCCTTGAGCGCCCCAGTGCATGTGTGTTGATGTAACATCCTTGAGCGCCCCAGTGCATGTGTGTTGATGTAACATCCTTGAGCGCCCCAGTGCATGTGTGTTGATGTAACATTGTATGTGAGTAATTAAAGTCAAGTAAGAAAGGAACCATTTTCGACACCTTAAGTCACATTGGGCATACAGGGCTGGACCTATATTTAACAGACCAGTCTGTACTCACTGGGTGATGTGGTCAGCACCACGCTGGCCACTTTTATTGCCAGGACTTTATGGGATACGCAGTTAAGGCTGGATTGACCTGGAAGCCAGGTTAATTTTTGAAAAAGTCTGGCTCCGCCAGGACTGAATCCATGACCTTTAGATCGGCAAGTGAGCATCTAGCTGCTTCACCACGGTGGCTGCCATGTGAAAACTTACTCAGCGGTAATTGTCTGAATAGTTCTTATGTATTACATGGAAGCATTTGACGATATGGTTATCAATCACAGGTAATTTTTAAACATATGGCTGTGAAACCTGGATAATTATTGTAAGCTAGAACACATGGCTGTGAATCGTTGGTAGTTTAAATCTGTGTTGTCATAAAATAAAAATGTTCCTGGTTTCATCAGCATTGGAATTCTTCACTGGCTGCTGAAGATGAGGACAGAGTGCATATGGAAATGTCCTGTGCTTTGATGTCAGTTCTCAGCTGAACAGTGTAATGGCTGAACTAGGACTGAAGGAGGGAGTGTACCAGTATATTTAATTGTTCAGTTTAAAACCTTTGTTTCAACAGGTTTGCTTGGATTTTGCTTGTTTCTACATAATTCCAAAAGTTCAGCTGAAAGATGTATTCCATGTATGGTTCCAATATGCCACCAAATGTTACCATCACAGTCTGACAAAATCCTGTGTTCAGGTTGGTATTGAATGGTTTTCCTCTTGAAGAATTCTCTGTTGTTAAAATGCTGCATTACACCTCCTTTAATGTTTGTGTCAAGCCAGTGAATCCTTATTTTTTTTACCCATTTTGTACCACGCATCTTATGTCCTACCTAGCGAATCCATAAATTTAACCTATTCAGAACCAGGCACTTTTATGACCTACCTAGTGAATCCATGTTATTCAACTTATTCTGTATTGGGAACTTTAGGTGATTCTGTGTTGTTTAACCTATTCTGTACATGAAACTTGTATGTCCTACCTAGTTGACTAATTGGGGGTGTTTCCTCTGAAGTTGGAGTTTGTCTGCCTCAGAGGCCAGAACCAACTGTATGCCTACAAATAAGCCATATCTGTAAAATGGATGTGCCTGCAAAACTCAAGTATTGGAAAAATACTGAAGTCTAGAAGTGGGTGAGCAACCATAACTTTCTGTCTGTTTGCAGCAGATGAACGCAAAGAAGAAAAGTCAGAATTGATAAAGGTAGTGTTTTAATTAGAATAAAGTATACATGCTGATTGAATCTAACATACGTATTTATGAATCTAATTATATAGTTAAATCATCATCCTATTGCACTGTTATACATCACATAGTACTCCCTTCCATTCTATCTTACAATCATTTCAGTTTCAAGGATGGAATCCAGTCCTGCACCTTTGGTCTCTCTTAACAACATTCCTTTTAAGATTTTTCTTGGATTTCCTCATTTCTACAACTCTCCTGTTTCCTATTTGGGGATTCGCAGTTACAGCGCCACCTGTTGGTCTTATATAGATAAATGCCTATGTTCATCTCTTGCAGGCACTGGCCTTGAAGATGGATGAGATTATCAACTCTCTAGAGTGGGAGGCAGAATGGCTGAGTCTGGACAAAGATCAACTGATAGAAATCCTTAACTCTTCATGTCTGGTGGTTAAAGATGAGTACGATCTGTGGCTGGCTGTGATCAAGTGGTTGACAGTAAGTATATTTTCAAAAACATTTAAACTTCTATCATCCTCCTTAATTAGCTCCTTTCTTCAATCATGTAACTACTTTTTGTAAAGTTCTTATAAAGTTAAAGTCTTTCACATGCTCCATTTCTTACCATCCAGTTTTTCTTTCATCAGGGTTTGGTTAAACCATATTTTTGTGTACCTCTCACAAACTTTGGTTTAGAGTTGCCTTTGAAGCCCATGGAAAAAACCAATACTGAGCTAGGTCTAATCTCAAAACAAAAAAAAAAGACTGAACACTTTTCACTTGCGCTGTTTGAGACACATTTGTTGTACATCATGGCGAGACTTTGTCCCCCAACGAATGTGTACTCAAAAAAAAAAAAAAGAGGAATTCCGGCAGTGTATTTTCTTCTGAAGCAAAGAGGTCTGCGCTGATTGGGACATGTCTCTTGCATGGATGATTTCCTGTCTGGTGAACTGGTAACAGGGAACAAATCTGCAGGAGGGCTAAAGCTGTGCTATGAGCACAAATGCAAATGCGACATATTGCAAGAGGCCAAACTGGCCAGCTATAAAGAGGAGACGTCCAAGACAGTGATTCCCAAACTGTGCGCTGAGCCGCGACCTCTTCACAGGGGTGGCGCAAAATATTAGAAGATACACGAGCTTAATTTTTTGTATCTCTTACATACAAATAGTCGTAATTTTACTTAGGTTAGGGCGCCATAGAAAAATTTTAATTTAAAAAAAAGGCGCCGCAACTAAAGTTTGGGAAGCACTGCTCTAAGAAAAAATCAGCCTCAGTATAATAGAGTATCAACATTTGTATGTGGACTGTGTGATTGAGGCTGCCACTTCCACATAAGATTTGACATAGCAGACGCTTTTCCCAGAACCAGGGGTACAACTCTATGGTCCATACAGACTGATTGTTGTCTATGTCACAATCCCAACCAGTTCCTGTCTAGCCTGCTTATTCTTGTTCTGTTTACATTCAAATGTTTGTCTTCTAGTGCTTGTCTTTCATCCCCCCTCCCAAGTATCAAACCTTTGCCATTGTGATGCAGTTCCTAGTATGTTGACCTGCTAGCTTGTTAATCATGTTCCCAAAATTTGTTGACCTAGTTTCAAGGTCGGCCTAGTATAAACAGGATACTAGGAAATGTTCTGGGTAGTAAAGGTGACCACACCAACCATCGAGTGTTCTCCTTCACGCTCACCGGCTGTAAAGGTTCTGGTTGTTCGTCCACTTCTGAGTTCTGGTTTATTTGTGTGCAGACTGTTGGTTCCTTGCCTCTCATGCAAATGCACTCTGACTTTGAAAGACACCCCCCCCCCTTTCCCCAGTTAATTGTCTCTTATGACATACTTATGGACAGTGAGTCTGTGCCCCCCTCCCCCCACCCCAAAAAATGGGATCCTGGTACCCACATCAAGTGTTATCTGGTCTATATATACATGCGGCAGCACACCATGTATACATTTGTAGGCATACAGATGCGTCTTTTGCTGACTATACTTCCTGTCTATTTATTCTCAATTTAAACATTGAGGAGACAAAATATTGCTCAGTTTGTTGCCTGACATAATTCGCTGAATGCTCCTGATAAGACAGCAGAATATGCCAGGCAGTAAATTGTTTATGTCCCCCTTTAACTCGTTCATCACTAAGCAGTCGTTACTTTAACCCCTAACATATCAAGGTGTTAAGCGTAAAAGCAGTAAATCTTTAGGTCTGATTGAGTGGACACTATGGGACTAAAGTGGTTAAGCTAATGATTGAGATCCAAAAGGTGACTGTAACAGTGCAAATACCATGGATTTGTAATAGACTGGAATGGAGGCATTATGAGTTGGCTACTTGAAAGCAGCGGCAGGTGGGAGACGTATCCAGGCCATAAACGGGGGCTTTCTCAGCATACACAAAACTGACAACAGAAGGAAAATGGCTGTTTACCACTCTACCTAGATACACGTCTTGATTTTACGGGTGTGAATCATTGGCAGTGACAACAGCTCACAGAATGCCAGCTTCAGGCTTAAGAAATGAGATATCTGAGAAATGTGGTGCAAGTGCAGAGTTCACAGCCAGACAATACTTCATGATCTTAAAACACAGGCCTAAAAAAAAATCAAGTGGATCAGTCACAGTTACGATGTTTTGGTCATGTATACAGAATGGGAGAGAGTCGACCACCACGGCAGTCATGGGAGGCCAAGAACCGGATCAACGGCGTGTGAAAGACAACATCCGACAGTCCCTGATTGACAGTGCATTGGAATGGAACAAAGCCAATAAGGAAATTGCTGATAAAGAAATCTGGCAAACCTCTACACTCTAAGGTAGAAGAGGATCGACTAAATAACTAATTCATGTAGGTGACCATAGTGCATGACTTTGAAAAATGAAAAGCGAGAACATTGTATTATCTTTAGAAAGTATGGCAAATTCCAAGGTCGAAGAGGATTGACTAAATAAGTCAGAAAGCTAGGTGATTATAACGCATGTCTTGTGATAAATGACAGCAAGAACATTACATTATCTTTAGAAAGACCAAGAAATGCATGATGAATGTTTTTGCACTGAATGAATGTTTAAATTCACAAGAGGAAAACATTGTTTTGAGTAAAGTATTCATTGATTCTTTCTCTGCAGCACCACAGAGAATCAAAGCAGTTGGCTGGTAAAGAGTTTGAAGCCATCCTGGTGCATGTGATGGAGTCCATGAGGTTTCCAATGATGACACCAGACCAGCTGAGTCAGGTAGTTTTGCCTTCTTTTATTGTTTCTTTATACAATGTGTCTGTAGAGAAGCATATACTTATACCTGGATCTTCTGTAACTTACTATCCCCTAGTCCGCAAGGAAGACAATTGGATTTTTGAGCTGAAATGCTATAGAAAGATTCTCGCAAACTTAAATATTTTGGCCATATCACACGCCACGACGGATTGTAACAAATAATAGAAGACATGATAACAGGATATGTGACACTTTGGGTAGACTGAGTTTTTTCAGGCAGGCCGTGATGAGAGCGCAATTCTGCAAAGGACCTGATATGTGATGATATCTTCTCCCTCGATTTGGTAAAAAAAACCATGACCTCTAAAAACAGTTAGTATTTCCACACAGAAACTTATACAACACCCAGTGTGCCCGTGATTTTATAGCCTATGATCCTGAATAAGAAGGGAATTGCACTAGACCTGACTGAAACTGAAGAATAATGCCTTTTTCACTAATATGTATTCTCTTTGTACCAGCTGACTTTGTTATCATTGTATGTTGGCTTTGCATGAGGTATATACCAGAGTGATCCCTCAATAGAGTTTGACTCTATCATGATGGCTGCTTCATAACTTTTTTTTTGTCTAGCTTTAGATAAATCTGATAAACGCATGTTTTATTTAAATATGAGACATCTAAAGTTATAAATCGTTGGCATGCATGAAGAAGTCTGCTCAGAGGCCATATTGTTTTCACACAGACAGTAACTCAGTAAAGCTCACAAACCATGTTTTCAAATATACATTATGGTCAAGACATGTGACATTGAACACAAAGAACGGGAAATCCCATTCCAAACTGCAAGTTTACATTGTTATACCAGCCAGTGGTACATTAAAAACAGTACCGTCATGCATTGATTGACCGCCTGGGTAGTAAACAATTAGTCTGTGATACGTTCCTTATGACTCAATGAGTTAACAACAGTAGTTTCTGTTACAAGACAGTTGCATGTTTATGGTCATTTCTGTCACACTTTGGAGGTTTTCAACCAAGGCCCCCTCATATAGGCATATTTTTTTTACAGCACATTTAAAACCAACTTTGAGATAAAATAATGGCACAAGGGGGTAACCCATAAGTGCTTTGTTCTACTTCTGACTCAAGCCTGTGTCCGAAGAATCTCAGCACAGTGCATGAACTCTGCAGCACCGGTGAGGATCCTGAAACACTTTGGGTAGATTTTTAACTCCAAATTTTGCCCAGGCAGTGTCATCAGGCTACTCTTTTCAATTTCAAACTGGGATTTTTTTTTAACCACGGGCATTCAATTTTACTACCCAGAGACCAGGGAAAATTCCTAGCCTTCACCGGGGCCTCCATAACTCGAGACCATGCAGCCCCCCTCTCTAGAAGAAAGCTAATAAATGTGAAACCTGTGCTGGTAATTTGTCTACATTTGTATTTACAGGCAGAAACCCATCCTCTGGTTGAGCAGCACAAAGAACTGTTCCAGTTATCATTCCTCTTGGCATACAAATATCATGCTCTTCCCCTATCCACCAGGGCACGCACAAAAGAGTTCGCTAGCAGGTCATTCTTGCTGCGAAACTACTCCAGTCTGCGCTGGGACAAGCGTATTATTATCCCCCGCCTTTCTTCGGTGCAGAAAGGTTCAGAGGTCAGTGTCAGATTCTCAACCAGGGCTTCATCCTTCCCAGCACAGACCTGGGAGTGGGAGCTGAAGGTTCACCCGAAGGGATCAGCCAGCAACCAGGAAGATTTCAGAATCCTGCTGCACTCCAATGTCATACTAGAACAGCCTCGAGCTGTGGAGTACTACCTAGCATTAGTTAACAGCCAGCAGCTCCTCCATTCAGTCAGTGGAAGAAAGAGCTTTTCCAAGGCTCGCTACTCCTCTGACACCGAGATGGAGAAGAAAGTGTCTGTGAGTGAACTGTTTCAGCCAAATTCTCCGTTTTTGGTGGATGATTCTTTAATCCTGCAGATTTGTCTCAAGCCAGCTGACTAGATTTTCTAGCAACAAAACAGTTAATATTGGTTGGTGATTCTTCTTTTTTTCTTTTCTGCGTTCGACATCAGGTTTGTTAAATATTTAGTCCCGTCTGGGTCAAAAAATAGGGTTGTGCATCCTCTTGTATCAGTGACCCTTTATGTCTCCAAAATTAGTCCAGTATGAGCCCGCTGACTGGCAGTCCAATGCACCATGCCTGAGGGATATTATCGATTATCTGTGTCATATGGAAGGTGCGGTAGTGAAGTGGCTAGATGCTGAGATATCCTGGAAAGTAAATGTGGTGTTTGTACCACTAAATGGGTGGTCTGTTTTTGAGGAAATGGTAATTCTGCCATAATATTGACCAATTGCAAAATTGTCTTATTCTTGCAATTTGTGTATTCATAATTGCAGTATCTGATTTTTTCTTAGATAATGTAGGCATTTCTGTGTGCTTTTACTTTGATCATTCCAGTGGTATTGATGTCTCTTCCTGTTACATTTTTAGGCCATTTTGGGTGTACACGAGACACACCAATTGTGTGCACCTTACCTGCATCATTCTCCGTAAATGAGAGATTAAAGGTTTTACAGGCAAAAATGTACGCAACGGACAGTGAACACATTCTGCAAGAGGCCTAAGAAGATAGCAAGGGACAATGGCTGAAAAGGGTGGCTCTTCGATGGCACAGGCAGAAGTCACGGTTGTAACTGTTTGTGCTATTGACAAGATGGAGCGTGATGAGGAATGGGTTACAGTGCCAGCAAATTAGACTTGCTTCCCTTTTGATTGAGGGTGCTGGGGGTGAATAGAAGGTGAAACAAAGTCAGTGGTGCAAGAGCTGATCAATGACAGTTCACACCCGGGTAACATGATATATACAGATGGATCTGTAGTAAGAGGTAAGAAGAGTGGGTAGGGTTTTATTGCTACGGCGAATGAACATTGCTTGAAAACAGAGAGCCCCACGCACAACATCCAGTATGATAATGAGGCGGAGGTCACAACGGCAGTTTCCGATGGATTAAAAGCAGCCCAGACCCACACGTTATACATAATTTGAACAGACTTACGGAGCATGCTACAGAAAGTTGAAACTAGTGTCCTGCACGCTGAGCGGTTTCGCATTGATAATACCCAGATCAAGAGCATATCATGGATTTTAAGGTGTCCGAGGTAACGAGCAGATGATAGATTATCTGCTGCCACTCCTCTGTGCGAGAGCTACTTTGTGATAAAGTGGATGTGGTGAAGGCTTTATGGGATCTAATGGAAGTGTAAAGGAACAGATACTGGATCCTTACACTAAAAGACTTATTCAACAGTTGGTGTGTAGAGGTTTTGGAAGATATTCACCATTGAAGGGGAAACAAAGGCGGACTTTTAGTCAGGTTGCAGCTGGTACTAGCATGTCAGCTGTGTGTCAGTGACTGACAAAGAGGACGCAGCAGGTGTGGGAATGTCCCGAGTGCAGTGATGTCAATTCTTGATTCATTCATTCCATTTATATGACCACAAAACGTTCCCCTTATAGTGCTACCTTTTTTCATCTAAGGGCGTAATGGTCTGTTTACAGCATGACTGCAGTAATTGTTGCCCAGGCTAGCTTTCCAGAGACATTCTATTGTCATATTTGCTGCCTAGTCTGCAGGTGATGCCCCCTCCCCTTCCCCATGCAAACCTCTAGTCCAGAAAGCATATACAGAAAATGGAGTATTTCCCTTCACCCAAGGAGGCTGCAAGCTGATATATGTGGCTGTCTGTTACCGAGCTCACGCCAGGAATCATAATGTCCTGCTAATGACTGCTTAGCAACATTTCTGTGTATTGAGCCTCTTCTTCGCCAAGAACTGTCTCTAGAGGTGGCACACCTCTCTCTCTCTCTGTCTCATTTTATATAGGTAGACGATGTTCTACTTGCACTGGTTTCTTCAGGCAATGTTATTCTGTCTAAATATTTGCTTTAGAAATGTCTACCTTATTTGTTTGTTGTAGTAATTTTGGGCAACCATAAGTCCCCGTGGACCATGAAGTTGTGCTGCTGATTTCAGAAATAGTGTCTGCTATGACTGTTCACATTCCAGATCTCATATAATATTGTCCCCCGTGTGGGTTCCTCAGCCCTACTATAAGAAAAAAAACAAGAATTGACTGCCTACCCATAAGCATGTCGTAAGAGTTGACTAATTGGGAGCTTCCTTCGAAGTCGGAGTGCATCTGTCTGAGAGGCAAGGAACCAGCAGACTGCATACAGATCTGTCAAACGGATGCACACGCAACACTCAGGTTCTGGAACAGGACTGCAGTCCAGAAGTGGACAAACAACTAGAACTTTCCGTCGGAGTTCACAGCCGGTGAACGCGAAGAAAAAAGAAGATATAATATTGTCAGTACTTAAAAATCTGTTTCCTTCTTGATATTCAAGAACCCAAATTACTGTAGTTTGTGCAGATTATAAGTATCATTTGGTGCTAAAATCATGTGGTTTATTCAGAACAGTTAAAAAAATTGTGGGCAGAATATTAACAGATGTTACAAATTTTATTGCCAAAAACGGACCGCAGTATCTGTAAAGCAGTATTGTGTGCTTCACATAAAACTTTGTTTTCACCGGCTGTAACCCCAAGTAAAAAGCTCCCGGGGTTTGTAGACTTCTGGACTTATTCTGGCAGTTCAGTGTGTGGTTTGCAATCATATGGCTGTAAGCTAATGGTTTCATTGCCTACCAGATGTAACTTAAGATATGTATTTATTTTTTTTCTAAATGTAACAGTAACAATGCTCATTTTGCATTCCATTAGTAAACTGACCGGTCTTTCATTTTTGTGTTGTATTTATTTTATTTATGTAAATGCAAGATTTCCTTATTCCAAAAATAAATGGTTTTTAAAAGTGACTTGGACTTAATTATAAATAAATTGATTGCCTTATAACTCCTGATGGTTAAATTTTTCTTCGAGCTCAGGGTGTCACATAAGATACAAATAAATTGGACTTCAAGACAGTTTTCAAGTAAAAATCCTTAGTAGGAAAGGTGAATAGTGTAGTGCTGGCCACATCAGCACCACTGGCTGGCTAGTCTCCAAAATAATAACCTAGCAAAACTTTAAAGCCCTCTTTTTTTTTAGGCATTATCTGCTCAAACCTCCCCTTTCTTTTCCCTATTGACAGTGCAAACCACTGAAGCAGATCTCAGAACTAGTGAATGTCCACAAACAGTAATTGAATGAAAAAGTTTTCTGGTGGAACAAAATGTGACAAACAACAATTATGATTTAACTAATGCATTTATTGAATGAATCAAGCCTCAGCCTCTTCTCCAGGCTTGTTGAAGACGTATGTCAGGCAGCACTTGCCGCAGTACTGTCTGTCAAAGTGAGATGCCATGAAGATCCCAGCACCACAGTATTTGTTGGGGCACTCTCTGCGAAGCCGTGTGATTTTGCCATTCTCATCAACCTGTAATCAAGGCATAAAATAGAACACGACATATGTTTACTTGGTATTTAAATAATGCACACACACACAAATAAATTGCACAATTTACTGCTAGGCACATTTCACTTATCTCGTCATGTGCGTTACACTACAGAATTACACAAACATGAATGGTCAGACTGCTGTTAGTACCACTGCAACTTTGTATTTGCTGTTAAAGATGGGGGTCAGAACACTTATGGAAATGTCCCAAGTAGTGTGATGTAAATTCTGAATTAAACAAAGAAATAGACACCGGTGTGCAAATATATGACACTTAAGAAATAGTAGACTGCCTAGTTACGTGACATTTAACTTAAAATTTTACTCAGATGACAATTACATTTTCTAAAAGGTTGCTCAGCTATTAATTAGTCTCATTATTGTTCGAGGGTGTCCTAAGATGTCATCACTGCAACCTCTCTCAAGCCATATATCGGCTAGATAAATGTGTTCATATTTGTCGTAAACAAAATTGAAGTGACTGGGAATGTACAATAGAACTTACAAGACAGATACATGTATTCTAAATTATTGAATCATAAAAGCAGTTCCTCGTGAAGCTAAATGACAATGTGACTGCTCAGACAAGACTCATTTCATTATTTTCAAGGGTGTCCTAAGATGTCATCACTGCAATATCTGTCAAAATAAAAACCATGCTGATGCTGTAAAACTACTGCTTGCTGAAATACAAAACTATGCCAGCCACATTAGTCCATGTGTGTTAGATTAAAGAAAGAATACTGTTTTGTGTGGTCTAGTATTATATAACCGAACTCATAAGAGAAGTCCTATGCTTTATTTGTGTAGTAAAACTGGTTACAAGTGTACCATGTGGAAAAGAAAATCCACTGAGAACTAAATTGTTGCCCACAGCCCTAAATCATGGCTCATATCATCCAAAAGACTAACTTCCAGCAAACAACACGACTGATAGACCTTTTAGAGAAAGTATTACCACCTCCCCTGGGCTCTCAATAAGTCTTGAATGTCACATATGTGCTGAAAGTGTTAGGCCTGCTATTTTCAGACGGGGCTACGGGACAAAAGCCATGCGGAAGCCACTCGTTACATCAACGATAACAGAAAGAGTTGTTACCCTAAAAACAATTGGAGACATTCTCAATAGGAGACCGGAGTACTTAAGATTATGTGCGATGTTGATTATTTTAAAATGAACAATAAACTTTGAGATTGCTCAGACGGTGAATCATTTCATTATTGAATATCAAGGGTGTCCTAAGATGTCATCACTGCAATCTATAAATAAACATCTAATAAATAAATGCCATATCTTACTCGTAGTTAATAGCTCGTAAATGTACAAAAATAATTTCACAAAATCGGTTTGCAATCCGGTTGATGTATTGTTAACTAAAACAAGTTTCATAATTTTTGGTATTTAAAAAAATATTATGCTATATTTGTTTTTTAAGAACAATCAGCACATGGTGGGTGCTGTGGTCAACATACCACCAACTACCTGTATTCCCCAGGACCTAATAGAATTCCAACAAGTAATCAGGTTAATTGT